TTTGTTTTAACTGAAAAATTCATTAGAAAATAATTCTCTTTTGATTTAATCATTTTATTTATTAATCTTTTAAATAAATATATTAATAAAGAATTTCTAGAAAATTCAATATATTATTATTCTACTAAAATCAACAAAATTAATTTTAATTAAATTATTATTGAATAAACTTTAATTCAATATAATAAAAGTCAAAAATAAAATTTTCACTTTGTTTTAAAATCTTCGATATGTCTATTATAAATAATTAAAATTCTATATTTGTTTAGTAAAATTGATTTTTTTTCGAATATTTTTAAAATCTTTTCATTTAATCAATTGACGATAAAAATAAATCTGATTAATGATCAAGAGTTAAAAATTCTTTTTTTAATTAATTATATTTCAATATTGAATTAAATATCTATTTAAAAATGATTAATTCTTAATATTTCATAAATTTTAAATATTTTTTCAAGAAAATTTAAGTTGAAAATAAACAAGTCTATTATTCTCATTTATATTTGTATTGTCAAACCAGTTTATAGATAATTATTTATATACATATACATATATTTAAACATATATTTGAACATTTTCCTTGTTAGATTTAATCTAATCTTATAAATACGATGATTCAATTTCAAATAATATTTTTAATATAATTTATCTAATATCTATCGAGTTTTTTGTTTTTTAATTAACAAGCATTGATTCGACTATAATAACAATATCGTTTACTAAATTTATTTTCAAAATTATAAATTGACAAATTTATAATGAGTTTTTGGAAATTGAGTTAAGCCGGGCGAAGATATTATTTTCATTGTCAACAAAACGATAGATAGTTAGTTTTGTTATCGGTATCTCATCGTTACTCATATTCTAGAATTTTTCTTTTTGTTTTTCGACTCTTTAATATGATTGTTTTTTCCAAAAGATCAAGTCATAGTAAGATTTTCGGAAAATTTTTCATCAAAAATATTTCTGTAAAAATAAAAGACAAAAATAAAAAAAAAAAAATTCGAAGACAGAATAGATTCGTTTTATCACTGAAAAATTTTTTCCAACAAATAAATTTCATCAATATCAATAAGACAATGAGATCAATGGCGTAGCCAAGGGTGAAGCAAATGGGCAATTGGCCATTTCATTATAGTATTTGCCCATTGTAATTTTTAAAAGTAAGGTTTTGTCCATTGAAATTCTACTTTTTCTGAAGTTTTTTTATTTGTTTACTGCTTCATAGATCTACGTATAAAGATCTCGATATAAATCGAGATGCAATATGGAAACTATATACACAAATGCATCATCATCGTCTTGATTTAGGTGTTTGAATTTGAAATATAAATCTTATAAATAGATAGATTAAAAATAGACTAAACACACATGAGTCAGACTTAAAATCTCTCCATCCTCAAAAATCGATCTCAGTCCAGAAATATTCTAATGCCATGACATTTCGAGAATCTGTTCTAGCTGTAATGGAGAAGTTATGGTAAAATGTTCAGTGATATACCATAACGTTTGACAGAGATATTCACCAAACAAGATTCAAAAATAGATGATTCGGCATCCGAAATTTGTAGGGCTCGGCTCTGTATATATATTTAATTTTTTTTGGTTGAAAGAGCATGTCACGATGCAGGACAGCAAAGACTTTTTTTTTTTTAACTTTTATTTCTTGAAAGAAGAAAAGGATTTACAAGTTTGATGAGTCAAAAAAGTCTACAACCGGAGTTCAATTTATAAAAGTGATTGTACATATAACAGGAAAAAGCTTAACTAAAAAGAAGGACTCTTTGGTGCCGCACGTTTTGACATTCTGTTTCAAACAAAAGAAATCAAATGCATACAGGGTGGTCCAAAAGTAATGGAGCAGACTTTGATTGCGAAAAAGTTTTGATAGAAACAAGCTAGAGAACTGCGATTTTTATCGTTTACAAGAGAGAAAACTGCATGGAATCTTAAATATCGAATTTTTAAAACAAAATTTCTCATGGTTTCCGGGAAAACCTCTTTAAAAAACTTAGGCTTTTTAAATACATCTAGAAGGTGGATGTTTCGTCCAAATATCAGGAAAAAAGTCAGCTTTTCGCCAAGAATCTGCCGAGAACGCGTAGTAAAATGTTAAGAACTAATAATTTGCTAAATCTTTTGGGCGTTGAACCTACACAAATTATTGAACTTTAGTTAACGACTCTGATGCACTACTGAAAATTAAAATTTTAAAACTTTCACTTAACAGAATAATTTCTCTTACAAAAACTGTCTGGAGACTCCGAGTGAATATTGTCATAAAAATCTGGTATTCAAGATTCGATACAGTTTTTTTTTCTCTTTTAAACGATGAAAACCGCAGCTCTCTATCTTGTTTCCATCAAAAGTGATTTGCAATCTAAGACTGCTCTGTTACTTTTCGACTATCCTGTATAGTTACCCTCGGCGGAGAAGTTTGATTTTGAGCATTTGATAAATCATGAACTGAGAAAAAACGAAAAAGATTTTTCAATTTCATCAAAAATCAGCTTATTTTTCAAGTAGACGCTGATGGAAAAAAAAATCGAAAATTTTGCTAAAAACGATATACGAAATAAAAAGCTATATCTCTTTTGAAAGGGCGAACTTCCAGCTAACTTCTCACATAGTTATCTCAATTTTCATATTTTTGACGGAAATTAACTTTTTTTAGGGAAGTTTAAGATCCGACTTTTATGCATCTTTAATGCAAAGAATCTCATTATTTATTTTTTGTGCTTTTTTTACGTTATCAGTGTTTGACTGAGTCAAAAAACTTTTCGTCCATCAATAAAACCCTTGTCCATTTCTGCCATTATTTTTTTCTAGCATAATAGAAGTTTGTCCATTAGTCTAAAAATGCTGGATACGACACTGAATGAGATAATCAATTGATTATTTTGACAATCAATTATTTAATAATAAATTTTCTATTTTACTTCGATCTGTACGAATTATTTATTTTTTGTCAATAAAGAAAATATTAAAAAATATCTTCATTCTCACATTAACATTGTTTAACAAAATCTAAAGTTAATAAAGAAAACTATACTTCGAAACTTTGACATTTTCTCTATAGACATTTTATATATTGTTTAGTTATATTTTTATTAAAATTTCTATAGAAATAAATATGATAAAGGTTTTGTAAAGGGTTTCTAACAATGGAAGGGTGTGACCTCTTGAGCGAAAACCTTAGATATATTCGGGTCAAAAGAAAGCTTTCAACGAGAAACTAACAAATTTAAAATATGAGCTGCGTATGGCGTAGTTGAACAGAAATATTCAATTTTTAAGTTATGCATTAGTAGGGTATGGAAGCATGATAATAGATGAACTACTGTAGTCACATCAATCCTGCAATTTAATTATCAGATTTTTCGAAAACGAGTTTTCAAAATCTAGGTGAATTTTATTAACAGTATCAAGACCTCTCTAGAGACAACTTCTTCTGAGGTCTAATCATGTCAAGTAGGAAATAAATTGATTATTATACATAGAAATCGGGCATTCATCGATACTCTTGACTTTATTTTACGTGAAATTTATAAACTATACAAAATAATATTTCAAAAGATGTACTACACATGGAGATGAAGATCTTCAATCAAATGATAATAACAAACGTGCTTTTTGCACCAGACGCAAACGAGAAGAGTTCGTTCTTCACAATTAATAACAGAACAATAAATGTCATAGAATTTAAAGCAAACGTGCTTTGGTTTGTTAATTCCACCGATTGTTCCATTAAGTATGTTCGCTTGCGTAACATTAGTTTTTTGGAATTTAGTACTGTTAAACTTCGGAAGTTGTCTCTGCAGAGACTCGGACTCGCCCATCCCTCCCATAAACCAACAAAGAATTATCGATCTGTATATTTTCTATTGAAATAGTATATCACATCATTAAATATATATGAAAAACTTGTACATCTTTAACTATTTAAAAAATAATTTAATTCTATGAAAAATTAAAACTCAATATTATCAAAATTAGTGCATTTTTATGAATTGATATTTTAATGAACGTAACATATCGAGTTTAATAGAGAATAAAAAGTCAAATATTAATTGTAAAAAAAAACACAAATAAAATGAATCTAAAATGTTTTATCTCTTGATATCAGAATGAAACATTTTGATATAATCTAACTAAGAAAATCAGACAATTGAATCTGCGACATTTATTATTTCAAATCATATTTAATCAAAGATACAGCTTTCATTATTTGTTATGCTGTAACAAATGTTCATTTTTCTAAATAAAAAATAGATTTTAAGTTGTTTATAACCAAAATGCTGTTTAAGTTATGTTTAGAGTTCATTAAAGTGTTAGTGTTTAATGTCTTACATTATTGATAGTCACAGGCATTAAAAAACATGGATATCAAGTCAAAAGACGATGTATCGTGGTAAAAAAAAAGATAACGATCATTTAAATTATTATTCACAATTCGCATTTAGCTTTATTTCAAAAAACGGCTATTCATTATAGCGAAAAGATGAGTTTCCTATAAGCAAAAAAAAACGAATAGTTAATGGTTATCGTAAAAAAATTTTATTTTCAACTCTTATAAACGTTAATGAGAAAAAAATGATCCAAACAAAAGATAACATAAATTGTATATATGTTCACCTATGAACTTGACGAATAGGAATAACGCCCGAAACAGACACAGACTGACTTAATTCAAAGTGAATTAACCAATATAATTTACGTTTCTATGGAAAAAGGTCAATCATGTTTGTTAATTCATTTTGAATTAGTCGACCTATTTGAGCTCATTAACAATAACAGTTTGTATTATTGTTTATGAAGGTATTCAATATGAATCATACACAACATTGAATAGCTCGATATCAAGACAATATATGACGACAACAGGATTAGAATATCTCTCTGTAGAGTTGTTCCATGAAATATTTATTTATTTCCAATTTGATGAAGTATTCAATATTTTCTCTAATATCAATTCAAGATTTTCTGGTATGATTAATAACATGTCCCTAATGTCTGTCTACTTGGGTCGAAATGGAATGAGTATATCGGTGAGAGAATTCTATTATAGATATTTATCACAATCGAACGTCTCTCATCGTCTTATTTCATTATATGTATCAGATACATTAGCTATTAATAATGGTTTATGGTTAGCTGAACATTTATCTATATTCATCAATCTTCGTTATTTATTTTTAATTGACATTAAACGTTCTTCTTTTGAATTAATGCTCAATACATCCTCAATAAAAACATCTCTTGTTATATTGAGCGTACACTATTCAGCTTACTATCGTGCTGCTTATACATTTGAAGGTGTGCCTGAAGGTACATATTATGAACGAATATTTCATTTATTTCCTTTAATACGGATATGTCGTCTTGGTTTCTATCGGTACATATGGAACGTTCTAGATAATAAAATAGTTCTACCATTTAGCAAAGCTTTCATATCAATTGAAACAATTCTTTTCAATTTACAATCAATTGCATTTGAACATTGTTCCCTAAACTTTCTGTTACATATACTTGAACATCATCCACAATTACAAGAGCTCAGCTTTGGTCCAAGTACTCCTTGGTTACCCGATAGACATACACTAATGAATGTTCATAAAAAGTAAGTTTTGTTTCTTCAACTGACATGAAAAGTAAAAATATGATATATGTAAATGCGTTTAGTCATATTATAGTAAAAGATTATCGCTGAAAGTAAATCATATTGTTAATTGATAATATCCTTTTTCACTAATTCGTAATTCAATTGATCATAAAGTGTTTAATATCAAGATAGCAATTTGAAAAAGTTGAACGGTTGAAAATAAGTCGTTTCAAAGATTTTTAAAGAATTGAATGAATAAGAAAAGATTTCGAATCAGTTAAATATATGAAAGTGTGCGTGTACCTATAGATTGATGAATGTAATAACAAACGAGCAATACCTTTTGTTTACGATAATATAAAAACATAGTTTACTGTATTTTTTAATTAGTAACGAATGATTAATCCTTTCTAATCATAGAAAAACTAGTGTTGGATTTGTTTCTTCAATGTTGACATTTAAGATCGTCATATTTCTCGATATATGTTTAATAGAAAAACTTTTTTTTCTTTTGTTTTTGCATCTGTTGACATATATTTTAAACTCTAGATATAAATGGAACAGATTATAACGGAACATAAAAAGCTTTAAAATTGGCGTCAAATAGAAATCGATTAACTCTGGAGAAGATACTATAACATAACAATGAAATAAGTTGCAATATCGAATCATTCTTCTTCGAAACATATTTATGAACTATCTAAACATAAAGGATTTCAAGGTAGAGGGTTAAATGAATTCCGAATGTCTATGAAGATTTACTCGGTGGTCTTAAATCATTTGTTATAATTTCATTAATAAATTTTGTTTAGATTTTATTCTTAACTTTTTCTCAACGAAATATATTAGGTTAAACATTATTCAATCGATTATAGGTACTGTGAAAACAAGACTGAATAGATTCAGTTAGATATGATGAGAAGAGGTGTCTTTGATAGGAAGTTCGTTATTTCATGAGTCTATTAGGCATAATGATAAGATAGACAATTGTTGTATAGAAAATTTTTAAATATTTCCAAAAAAAAAAGTATTTTGAATATAGAAATATGAAATATTGTACACAAACAGAACACTGACATTATATGATATGATATAGATGAATGATGGAAAAGGATATGTTTCAGTAAAAAGTTAAATAATATAATCATATATATTTATGATGATTGGAAAATATTTTTCTTTCTTCATCTATTTTAGTCAGATTTCTCGTATTAATAAGCGTATGACTCCCAACTTGCGTCGTCTTAAAGTAATCCGTAATAGTAATCTGGATTGTTTGGAATAAATTAATCAATTATTTGACCGTGATGTTATATATTCACTGACGAGGTTCACATTAGTAGGGATGGTGACTGGACTTCATCCTCTTCGCAATTTTATATCGATGCTTTGCGATCAATGTTTATATTCGCTGGATGTTTGGTGGTGTGTGCAGACTATAGTGTCACTAATAGACACAAGCACCATATTGTTAAATACTTTTCAACAAATGAAAGGACGAATGCCAATCGAACTACAATTATCTTTATATGATGACAATTATTCTATTAGAGCTTTAACGATATTATCAATTGAAAAATCATTACGTTCTTATAGCTATAGAGACAAAAATACTGTTAAAGCGTATGTATAAATTTCTTTTTTCTTTCTTATAATAAATGGTGTTTCTAAATATAGGTAAAGTCGATCGCCATCTAATATGATGGTCTTGAAGAATCGTTTGTTATACATCAATAAGATTATTATGAATGTTACATCCACAGAAATGAACGATGAAGTTTTCTCTTACTTCCTAACTACTGCTTCTTGGCATCAAATTACTTCACTCACAATCGATGATCCATTAAATTTTATTTGATATCTTTTCAAGGAACTTTATTGACAAATGTATATTTAATACGACAATTTGTACATTCCCATCCATCATATAAACAAGATTCAATTGTATCAGAAGAAATTCAATATGATCTTATTTTGAAAAATGATAAAAATCACAAATGAACATTAAATGATTATAAGTGTAGGAAATATTGCAGTTATAGGAAACATGAAGTGTGTATGTTCGTAGGATATTTCGTATGCCTCTATAATTGTTATTCGTCGTATATGTCTAGTACTGATGCTTGATTGAATTTTTGTAGGTACTTATAGAAGTCGAATCAATGTCATTTGTCTAATGTATAATCAATTTTGAATACAAATTTATATAAATTAATTTTAAAAATATAATAATGTTCAATTTAAAGTAAAATGTCGTTTTTTTTTTCATGTAAAAATTAACGAGAAACATTTATGCTTGCATATTTATTCTTCGGAAAAGAAACAAACTGTTCAAGTACTTTACTCACTTTCACGAAAACTTTTTTTACTAAAATTTAAATATCGAAGCATCTTTAAATGAAAATAGATTCTGTAGAACAAACTTATCGTAGTCTATATCATCTAGATATAGCACTATAAACAAAATTTAGATCGGAAGTCGCTTGAAATTTTTTTAGGAAATTCTTATCAATATATACACTAATTAACTATTGCAATGAGACTATTCATTTATAGAAGAGTGAAGTTCGTTTCTTTTCCGAATTAAATCCATTATATAATATTTCAGTACTTGTTCTATGTAGTAGGAAGAAAAATCCTTGCGTCTAACTGTTGTTTTAGTATGCACTATGACTACGTATATTGACTTCAGCTTTTATATATTAAGAAATATTTTTATAAAATAAAGTTAAATCTAATATAGTGTAAGTAATCACTTATCTGTATGATATACGCTTACTAGAACAAGAAAATTAGCAAGAATTTTTCAACAGATGAAAGTGCAGTTTTTACAACATCTAAAATGTTGACTATAGTCCAACATTTTTATCATCATAAAAAGAAAATCTTTGTACAATATAA